CTTTTACAGAATCAGAACATTTATTTCAGGCTCTTAAAACTTTGTTTTTTTTCTTTTCCAAAACTGAAGAAATTTTCTGCAGTGTTTGCAAAGGTATACCTGCTCTAGATCAAAAACTTAAATAAGAATTCAAACTGTGTCTGTGATCAGGAAACCCATCCAGCAGCCATGACTATTACAGCCAGGACACACATGAAATTTTTACTTCTCATCTACATTCATGTTTTAAAGCTCTCCAGAAATCCTGTTATAGAACAGATTGGAAGGCACCTTTCAAGGTCTCTGGTCCAACCTGATGGCTTTGTGAAGGTCAGCCTCAGAACTATGCCAGCCTGCTCACAGCTTTGAACAGTCAAAATTTGAAAACCTTCTAGTATACTCCACACTTTCTCTGGGACCCTGTTCCTGTGCTGAGCCGTCCTCTGGGAGCAGCAATTCTTTGTATCTAGTCACAGTTCTCATTGTTGCAGCTTGTGATTTGCCTTTTGTCCTGTCACTGTGCCATTTGGAGAAGAATCTGACTCCGCCCTGCCTATAAAATCAGTTCATGGTGGTATGACAGGTTAGGACAGTCAGGCTGCTTGAATCCCTGAAACTATTTAGCAGTGGTTTTAATCCCAAAATCCAGCACACCTGCAGGCCTTTGGTGCAACTGTCCAGAGTAGCTTGGGGAATTGGGGCAGCAGTGGGTGTTTATTCTGGATCCAGTTCCTGCAGGGAGCTGTGCCTCAGTCCCTCCCTCGACAGCCAGGACAGGGGAGTGTAGATCATAGATCCCTGCCTGCCTCCTGAAGCTCCTTCCTAGAGGGCCAGACTCGAGTCTTCAAAGCTTTACTTCTTCTAACTGCAATTCCCTGCTAGCTCCCTGCTTGCTTTTTTCCTATTTTCCAGCAAACCTGATGAAGACAAGCAGTCTTCATCCTGACTCCAGCCAAGCCTAGCCTGCTTGAGGGAAGCAGGACCGAAATCCCTTTCCTTCTCAGAGCCCCGAGCTTTTCGCACCCTCCTCTGCCCCGCTGCTCACCTGCCCCTCCTCGATCGCTGCCCTCGGTGGTTCTGTCCTTGCCGAGCTCCTGGCCGCCCCAGAGCTGCGGCCGCGGCGCTGAGGGCTGTCTGCTGCTGCCACCTTAAGGCTCGAAATTCGTACTCCAGCAAAACCCGTGCCCGCCTTCCCTGGGGACGGAGGGTGGGGAGCTGGGGGCCGGCCAGAAGCCGTCTGTAGCGGCTGGAGGATGGCACAAAGCCCTCACCCCACTCTCGCTGAGCCCGCTGCCTCCTCCAGAAGCTCTCATGGGAAAGCATAGCAGGCTTTCACGGAAGTTTTTGCGTGCACCTTCTGATTTTGTGGCTTGCAAGAAACCATCCTTCGTAATCTGTAGGGCACAGTCGGAGCAGATGAAGCAGGAGATAAAAGTTTTTCTCTCAGAGGTTTTTACAGTCTGCCTTTCTGTGGGGAGAGAGAGGGCTTGAGGCTTGGTTTCATCGGCTCTCAGCCACAAATTAGAGGTGTGGATGCATTTGCACTTTGAATGCTTTTTGGTGGCAAATTTTGTTGTTATTTGGCTTATTGTGTGATCTGCAGCCTTTCCCTTCTCGTTGTGCTTCTGGCTGAAAATTCCTGTGCTGTGTGACACCGAGAGGAGGCACCTCTGACCTGAGGGTCTGTCTGAAGCCACTTCTGGAAAGCAACCAGCCAGGGAAGACAGCGAGATCAGTGGCAGCTCTGACACAGCAGAGACCATGGAAGTCAGCTTGGCTGGGGTTGGCAGCTTTTCCCTCTACTGCTGTTCCCTCCAGCAGCACAAGCAGCAAGGTGTGCTTGTAGGAACCCATGTGGATTCTGTTTCCACAGGAGCACATAGGCGATGGGATCCGTATGCCACAAAGCTGTCAGCACAGGGAGTGCCCTTCATTATCAAAAGACTTGCACAGGAAAACAGGTAGCATTAGAAATAGTTGCTGATTTTTAACTCAGAGTGCACAGGTTATCCCAGGTATTAGGCCTTAGGTCAAAACAAAGTGAACACAAATCAAAAAGCTTTTGATTTTGAAAAAAGAAATAACTCATCATTAAGTTAAAAAAAGCAATTGAGGATTTTTGTGAGGCCTTTCCCTCTTTCTGGATATGAGCGAACTTGTTTTATCCTGGAGTAGCACAAATGAGAAAGGATCTGCAGAAAGGATTTAACTCACATACATAGTGCCTGTATTCAGTCCATAGGAGAGCTAAGGTTTGTCATCTCCATCTATGGCATGGCTTTGAAAATTTTCATGGTTTTGTGGTTTTTTTAAGAAACCCAACAGAAAGTTTTAAAGTGTTATCACCTCAAAAGTTTTCATTTTTCATGGCTAGCTCAGGCCTGCATGTTGCTGGTGCTCAGGGACACCTCGTTCTGAGCTGCAGGTGCCACACAGCCATTGCTAGGGATCCTGGGATTCAGCAGTTTTAGGAAGCCCCTGTTTCTGTGCAGGTGGGGAAGCTGCTTATGTCAAGGAGCTTGCTGTTTTGCCATCAGAAGGAAAGAAGCAGGAACCAGCAAATCCCAGGATGCTTCCTTACCACTCACCTGCTGCATGGTACTGTGATGTCTTTCAGCAGCAACCTGGACTTTTGGTCAGCTTAAAAATCACAAAATTACTTTCCTTCTCAGTTTCCCTAGCAGCCACCATCTTTGATCCTTCCTCCTTCCTGTGGATACCTCCTGAATAAAAGAGTGTGAGTGTTTTTGTTGACACAAAAACACAATTACAAATGAGCACAGAAAATTAGGCTTGCTATGTGCAGTTGCTGTGAGAGTGTAGCAAGTACTGTTGGCAAAAGTAACCTGCAGATCATTTGGTATGGAGCTCCAAAGGTAACTGACAAGCTGAAAGCCCAGTATTAAGGTCTTGCATGAATTTCCATAATTTCTAATTTCTATTTCAATCCATATGCTCCCACTGATACTAATTCATCTGTGAGCACAACTGTGCCAATATTTCAAATCAAAAGTTATTTGAGGGTTTTCTATTCCTACAGAAATACAAAATACACATTTTGAGTTCCAATGCACATTTGGATTTGTGAAGCATAAACTATCATTGGGAGCATCACACTAAAATCAAATATAAACAACCCCCATTTCACTGTCATAGTACACACAGCAATCTTCTATTTTCAGCACACTGAGAAAAACTTCTAAATGCTTACTTGTATTCAAGTCATTGTTTATCCTGACTGAAAGGGTTTTTTTCAGATAAAACCATGAAAAATTCTTAATGAGAACTTGACGCTGCATTATATATGAAAATAATAAACTCTGTACTCTAGCAAGCATACTGTTCTCTCAGAAATTATTCACAGAGGGTTTAGATCATCAAAATGGTATGTTTGAATATTTTCAGATTAGTGTATTAGTATCGTCTGATATTAATGATTAATGAGTGAAAAGATAGAGAATTATTGCTGAAACCTGAAATCTAACTTTCCTGTAAGGAGACAGAATCACCCAAGGTTATTCTGCCTGTTCCTAAGAGCCATAAACACTGGATTAGCCAGATTAGCTTCCTTTTTTCTTATTTTATTCGTAAATGACTAAATTGAGGACCTAACTATGAAAAAGCCGCATCCCTGACTATCCTTCCAAGGCATGGAAACAGCAGCAAAATGCTTCCAGTGAAAAACTCCCTCTGCCAGAAGAAAAAGATCCTAGCTAGACACTTCCTGGAACCAAAGAGAGTCTTCAGATTAGCTCTTTATCTATTTTCATCTGTATTTGAGATCATTAGCAACATATATCTTTGATTTGTAATCATTCTGGTATCAGTAGGTGATATCATAGGTATCACCTGTTAATCATTCTGGCTCATTAACGCCCTTTGCACCAGGATTTGTAGATCCTTTATCACAACGGAGTAAACAGATCCATTAAACACATTATGCAAGAGAGGAAATGGAGCCAGCAACCAGCTGAGTGCTGCCCTCTAAGGCACAACCACTTAGGTTTAGACTTATGCTTCAGGTTAGGCTTCTGAAAACCACAAAGCCCAGACCTTCAGGGATGTTTCAACTCCAAAATGCATGCAAAGTGAAGTACTTCATGTCATCTCATTACATTTGGTTACAATCACTTCATTTCAGAATTTTGTTTTATTCTTTAAATTTAATTTAGTTCTGTCATCAGTCTACCATACTCAGATTGTTTCACTTTCTTCTCTGAGTTTAAGATTGTCAATGAGTAGCAATTCAGCAAGGTTTGGTCCATTTCCCTGCATTTTGTGTCATCCCAGACCATTTTATTGTTTTCACTTGTTTTATTGAATTCACTATGAGAATTCTCTCTTTTAATTTTTAGCATTTCATTTAATCCTTTTCCTTTCCTGTCCATTCATGTCGTTCCCCGATTTCACGATTTCAATAACTATAATTTTCAATGAGTGTAATTTTGGCAAGGTTTGCTTCTCACACTGCAACTCATTTCCCAAAATCAGGGAAAAAAGGTAAACAAAGAGACAGGAGAAGAAATTGAAAGAATGAAATGCTAAACAAAGAAAGAAAATTCTAAAACAAATGGAAAGCAACAAAAGTGACAGGGATGAGCTGAAGTCTAGGGAAATGGAGCATGGCTTGCCCAACTGATCCTCATTGAAACCAGAGAACAAAGTCCAACAAACACTCTGGAAAGGAGATATGATGAAATTAAACTTTTACTTTTCTGTACAGTGGTGTACCTCCAAAGCACAGTTAATACATCTTAGTAATCTATGCAGCCAGTGTCTGGTAGCTAGCCCACCATCCTAACAGATGGAAGCTCTAGTTTAATTCCCCGTCATGCTGAGGAATTCTTACAACTTTTTATTCTGACTTGGGGGAAGGAAGGTTCACTATCTACTCAGGCTTTACAGAGAACGTGGGGCAGAGCCTCTTCTTTCTATATTCTTCTCAAAAAGCAATACCTGTTACCAAACCTCACAAGGTTCTTAAATCAGCCTCCATTTCACACATGGTCTGAAANTTGGGGTACCTCACATGACATACCGGGACACCGAGTTGCAAGGCTTCTTTATTCCCAAGGTGACCGTGACCACACAAGCAACACAGCAACCTCTCCTTTTGCAGCTGCCATGCACGGGGTGGGGATGATCCCATCCAACCCTGCAGCATTGCACATCCAGCCCCAATTACAGTCACTGCTGAGCACTAAAATAGGACATTTTGCAATGCTAAATTCAGGCAGACGGTCACATCTGTGTTCTAGGCTCGCACTTGTTGTATGGGAACACAACTGCAGTGGCAGCTCAGTGCAAAGGGTTCCTTTCCTCTCAATGAGCTGTGATATTCACTGCCTGTCAGAAGCAGCCTAACAGACTCTCTGGAGGCACTGAACACCAGCTTACTGGCTTTCCTGAGATGCTAGTAGTTAAATTCTAATCTCTGAATCTACTCAGATGCCATTGGCATTCAGGCCAGTTTCACTGTGACCAGCAGCTGCCCTGGCAGCAGTGGCAGAATTTAAGCCTGGGATTTTTTTGTAGCCACGTGGTATCTCCTCTGATTTAGAACCTTGACATGTGAAACAGGAAAGCTTTGTGATTTTCCCTGGTCCCTGCAAAAGTTAGGCTTTGAAGTCTGTCAGTCAGCTTTTTCTCTGCAGCTCTAAAACAAGTCCAGGAGGATCTGAGAAGCAGAGGCTGTTTCCACTGTGTAACCATGAAATTGGCATTTGCACGCTACAGCCTCTGTAAGGCTACAAATTGCAAAAGTTCAGGTGCTTCAGAGTGTAGGGGAGGCACCAAATGCCATTGGAAATGGGGCCTGCTTTACCTCTGCTTCAAATAAGATGCAAAAGTAGAAATGAGTGCTATTAGTTGGCAGTCAGGGACTAAAGAGGGACCAGCACTGTTCTGTTGTGCCAAGATAATGCTGCTGCTGTCACTTAAGTTGTTTCCTCTTGTGGGGGAGTGCAGGGGACGACAATCATCACCAACTTGTCTTCGGTGCTGAAGGATGAGACAGTCTGGGAGAAACCAAATGAGTTTTACCCCGAACACTTCCTGGATGCAAAGGGGCAGTTTGTGAAACCAGAGGCCTTCCTGCCCTTCTCAGCAGGTAAATCTGAGGGGAGGATCCAGCTGCAGGTCAGAAGCACAGCTGGAGGGTGATCGGGTCCCCCCGTGGCAATTCCAGCATCAATTATTGCCCTCTCTGATGCACTTCCCTTTCTTGCAGGTCGCCGTGCCTGTCCGGGAGAACAGCTGGCCAGGATGGAGCTCTTTCTCTTCTTTACCACTCTCCTGCAGAAATTCACTTTTGTGCTCCCTGAGGACCAGCCCAGGCCACGGCAGGACGGTCACTTTGCACTCACCAACTCTCCACACCCATACCTGCTGCGAGCTCTCCCAAGATAGGTGCACACCACTCCCCTTTCACTGACAGACCACCAC